CGGGCACAGGGGGCTGCTGAACCTGCACCCCCTCCAGGGATGGTTTGCAAACAGGGAATCAAACAGGTAATGCCTGACTGCGAGAAACAGCTCGATTTTACACTGTAAATCAAAGTAACTGGCTCAAATTCAGGGCCTGGGCACTAAGAGTGAAGAACAAACACCACTGTTCTGAAGGGAAGGAACTCTGTTTTATTGCAGGCACCAGGTCACAGCTCTTTGCAGAGCACAGAAAATGAAAGGTCACTGTGTCTTCCCAGGAGGGGACTGGAAGCCAGCAACGTCACATTTGGAATTGCCACTGAAACACATCTATGGAATCTACAGGACATCTTTGTTTTGAAAGTGCAATTACTCTTACAACTTGCAAATGCAATGCACCAAAAGAAACAGAGCCTACAACTTCAATATTGCTATGTCAAATCAAAATGTTTGATAAATAACTACTTTAAGAAATTGAACAAAGTGGTTATTTGCTCAATTGTTAAACCACAAACATTTTCATACAGGCTCAACTAAAAATATTTCTCATAAATTATTACTGTACATCAAAAAAATAGTACCATCTGTACAGAAATAGTAAATGACAAAGAAGCCTATGATTAACTGTGAAAAGAAAGGGGTCACATCTGGATTGGGTTGTGTACCTCTTCAGTTGAATTAATCAATAATTAATTATTCTGTGTCCAATTATACTTGAAATCCCAAAACGTCTCATTCCCTGAAAGCCGCTGTCCGTCAGTTAAGACCTATTTACTACTCAAGCTTTCTGTTCAGCTCTTCCTTGCAAATCCAAGCCAAAAGCAAGATAAAAAAATGTTCCTTGGCAATATTTGGAACAGATCATAAAAGGGAAACAAAAGTAAAACTCTCCTACTCCAATCACACCAAGTGAGCAAAAATGCAAAGGCTTTTAGAAACTACATTTCATTATCAAGTACAGAAGTAACTACAGAGTTTCTAAGCAGCAAAATGAAAAAGAAAACACCCTATTTTTGCTTAATAAAAAAATGGGCAAAAATTATTAATTCCTTTAGCACTGGAAATTCCTGAGCCAAAATGTGGCTTCCCCCTTAAATAATTTACACCCTCACAGAGCAAAACCTGGAGGATTTCTATACTTCCTGCCTAAAAATCTGAAACAAAAACGAGGATAAAGAGTATTACTGATCACTGATGTGCATCCCTCAACCCTGTCTCCCCCTGTCCCCTCGGCAGGAGCGGTGCCGGGGGCAGCTCCGGGCTGGGAGCACTCGCAGCGCTGGCTCCAGCACCGGGCAGGTTTGGCAGAACTCCCGCACTCCCTGCGCTCCCGCTCGGGAAATCCGCCCGGCGAGGACGGCAGGAAGTACAGCGAGTGCGGGGAAAAGCGCGGGGAACGCCACGGCGAGCCCACGGAACGTGTAATTCCACCGCAAATCGAAAGCACGAGCTCCATCTCAAACCGTCCTTCGCATCGTCGAGGTGCAAACCAACCCCGCGCGGGCTTCGGCCCCCGAGAAGGATCAGCGAAATTCCCCCCGCAGGCGAGCGCGGGCATCACCGACCGGCCCGCACTGCGCCGGGGCTCGGGCCGGAACAACCCCACCGGGCCCGGGCCACGGCGCGCACAGACACAGGCCCAGGGCGGCCCCGGGGAGCGGGAGTGTCCCGGAGGAGCCCCGGGAGTGTCCCGGAGGAGCCCCGGGGCCTTCTCGCCCCCGCCCGGTGCCGGGGCCCGCAGTCACCCCGCGGGATCGGACCAGGCCGCGCCGCCCGCGCCTCGCCGCCCCAGCACCGCAGCGCCCCGCCGCCGCGGCAGCGGGCGGTACCCCTGTGCAGAAGGGAGCGGAGCGGGCCCCGGGCCGTGCCCCCGTGCCGCGGGCGGTCCCGGCAGAGCGGCCTCACCTTCCCGGCGGGTCTCTGGGAGCCGCCGGGCGCCTTGTCCGCCATCTTGCTCTGCACAGCCCAGCCCTGGCGCCGGCCAGCCGAGCGCCGAGCACACCGAGCCCCAGAGCGCAGGGCGCGCAGACGAGCGCCGAGCGGCCGATGCCGCCTGTCCGCGGTCAGGGCCGGGGCGGGAACGGCTGGAACGGCAATGGAACGGCAATGGAACGGCAATGGAACGGCACTGGAACGGCAATGGAACGGCAATGGAACGGCAATGGAACGGCACTGGAACGGCACTGGAACGGCAATGGAACGGCAATGGAACGGCACTGGAACGGCACTGGAACGGCAATGGAACGGCACTGGAACGGCACTGGAACGGCACTGGAACGGCAATGGAACGGCAATGGAACGGCAATGGAACGGTGCAAACGGTGACAGCCAACGGGAAAAAGCCCTTGGATAAACAGTGGAAAGGCTGGCACTTGATGTTTGGGTTGTTGCTGGGTTTGATGCCACACCACAGCTGTAACTGCTAACCGAGGTCACAGCCAGCGCTTATCGCGGGTCTGGCATTCCCGCTCTTCCAGGGATTCCGGCACAACGCAGGGTACCCTGGGGTTCATATGAGGCTTAAGACAAGCAGGTACACAGAAATTAGAGAGAGCTTTAACCTGCCCCCTGTCGATACCCGCTGCCCTGTGCGGCCCGGCAGCGCGGGAATGTGGGAAGGGCGGGAAGGGCGGGAATGCGGGAAGGGCGGGAATGCGGGAAGGGCGGGAATGCGGGAAGGGCGGGAAGCGCCGGCAGGGGGCAGGCCCGGCCCGCCTCCCACAGCCGGCTGAGGGTGCCGAGGGCACCCCCCGAAACAGCCAAAGGAATAAATCGATCCCCACCGTCACGGGTGCTCCGAGCCCAGTCCCTCCGGCCGGCCGAGCTTCCCTCCGCGGCATTCCCTGTCACGGATCGGCAGCTGAGCATCCAGAGGGAGCGGGGCTGTGAGGCACATAAGCAGTGGAACGATGAGGGGGTGCTGTTCCCGTGGCTGGAGGAGCCACCTGCGCGGCTCTCCTGCATTAGGCAAGATCTGCTGCTTCAGAATCCAAGTCGAGCCTTTCTCTTCCCCAGTCTTTCTCAGTGTTTACTTGAGAACTGTTTCACTAGCTTGCAAAGACAGGATAAGTGTCATCTGGTTTTTTTACATAGTAATAGAAACACGTGCAGCAAAGACTTGAAAGCAAACCAGCTGGAGAACTTGTACTGGATAGGAAGGGCTAGGAATTTAGGGCTAGGAAAAGACTGTGGATGCTGCTCAGCTCTCCTGGGATTGCACTCATAAACCTGGCGTGAAAGAACGATTGACATTGGTGGATAAAAACCAAACATCTAGCTGGAAAGAGGAACGTGCCCTTGGATGTGAGAGTTTTGGGGCCACTAATGTTTTGAAAATTTGTGCTCCATTTGGCCTCAATCCCTTTATTTAATCCACCTCATTAATCCTTTTTAATTATCCACTTCATTGTTTAAATCCTCCGCTTACTGCTCAGATTCTATGCTCTTTTGTAATTAATAACCTACACCAAATTAAGAGCATCATGATCCAAAGCATGCTGTGAAAAACGGGAAAGATACAGTTGGAGTTTCAAAGGTCATCTCTAAAGATAATTTTTCAGAATGAACTGTCCTCCTGAATCTGCACTATTTATAACACACTGCAATAGCACAGTAGCACAGATAGTGAATGAGAACACATGTCACTGCCTTGGGCTGAATGGGACAGGAAGGGGAGGAAGGAGAGAGGGAAGGGAAGGAAGCAGCAAGAGGCAGAAATCCGTGGAGAAATGGAGCTGGAAAGGGCAGGTTAATAATAATATTTAAAAGTAAATTGTAAACATTTTTCACTATAATGCAGCAGGTCTGGCTGCCTGCAGACCTGGGAGTTGCTTATTAACTTGTTACAGTGACAGATATCATTAGGCAGTGTACTAGGGGAAACCGTGAATTATCATAAATAATTAACACCAAGCTACATTAAGTAAACCACACGCTGATGTGCATTACCCTTGTCTTTCTGGCTGCTTCTCTCCCCACTTTCATACCAAAGCTCTCCATTGCTCTCATCCCAGGCCAGGGCACAGCACAACTGCTGCAATACTTTCCCAAAGGTGGATGAGGGCAGGGGAGAGGAAGGATTTACAGCGCTTTGGAAGTTCCCTCCCCTGGAGCCAAGGGTGTACAGGTTTGTCACTCTGTGCTGGTTCATGCTCTCAGGAGTGGATCCCTGGAATGTGTGTGTGTTCCCATGGCTCAGGCAGCAGTCTGCCAGCTGCTGCCCTTATTCCAGCCTCCCCTCCTCCCACCCCTGGCACTGAAGGCCAGTCAGGGATCCTGCAGATAGGTGACGCTGGCTCCACGGATTGTGTGTGTCACTGCTGGGGAGCTCTGGGAGCACAGCACGGAGGTGAGAAGGGCAGCACGTGCAGCTGGAGCCCAGAGAGCTTGGGCTGAAGGGAGAAGCTTTAGCAGGAACCACCGGAATAAACAAAAGGAGCCAGAGGGGGTGTGTGGCAAAGGGCAGTTTGGCTCTGAGGTGCCCAGCAGCCTGGACTCGCTGCCACTGCTCCGTCTGCTCTGTCTCCTGGCTGAAGCCATCTCAGTTACTCTGTCTCAGTGCTGCTGCTCTGCCTTCCCTCAGCTGTGAGAGCTGCTCCCCTCCTGCTTTCCCTCCCAGGACACCCAGGGAACCTTCCCTGCCTGCGATTCCTCAGGCAGTGAGGCCAATCACACACACCAGGCACAGGAGCAACACCTGACTGGCACTGTCTGGCTGGGAAAGGCCGACAGTCTGCAGTGCATCTTCCAGGCATCAGTGCAAGTATCAGATGAAGGCTTCGTTGCAAAGGTCTGCCTGCAGCCTCCTGTCAGAGCGAGCTGGCCTGTGTGGCCAGAATGCAGATGTGCACCTTTATCAGCTGTTTAAAAGCGCTGGGAGTTCGAGATGAGTGCCATGCCTGCCATTCCTCGGTCCACACTGACAGTCCCTCCTTTCAGTGAGTAGCAATTTGTGCTGTGGGAAACACTCCCACTCAGCACCTCTGAACAAAACAATTTCTTCACGTTCCCTTTGGAAGTGAGGGCTCAATCCTGCAGCCCTGGCAAAGGACAAGGTGTACTTTGCTCTTACCGTGAGCCACTGGGAGCTGGGACAGGGTGGATTTTGCCCGTGGAAAACACGTGGAATGTGCATTCAGCAACATGCTGTTCTTCATCACAGGGAAACAAATTTCACTGCAGTGCTTACGTTCAGGTTTGCTGCTGTCCAGAAAAGCAGGAGTCCTAATCTTTCAAAAACAAGAAGTTTAAAAAGACAACAACCATGCCTTCAAAGGAATTTTCTTAAAATGGGAAGTATTTTTTTCCCAGTTTGTTGTGTTCAGTGGGGGTTTTTTTTCAGATTTTTTTCCAGATGGGTTTTATTGCTGGCTTTTAAAGGATTTAAAGAGCACAAACCTGAAGATACTCAACTTGAAGGTAAAGAGGGCAGAAAATAAGAAGCTTCTGGCGAATGAACATTCCTGTGCAGCCCTGATGGTATTGGTTACTGTTACTCCCTTTTATCATATCTAGCTTTTCTCCCCTCCAATGAGGCTTCAAAATACAAGTATCACTTTCACTCTTCTTTATCCATTAAGGAATTAGGTTCATAAAGTATAATTGTCCCTAATTAGTTACTCAAGAAGGAGAAAATGATGCAAGGATTCCTGTTTATCCAGTCTTACAAAGACAGGGGAGTAGAATCTGTAAATGCAAGTTAATCTCTTCAGTATTAGATCAAAGCACCGTGTCCACTCGATTATTACAAACTATTACAATCACTGCAGCAGAAAGTTACCCATCAAGACATTATTTTCAACAAACTGATACACACTCGAGAAAGGATAAAAACAATCCCCCAGAACAAAGGGATCATTTCTGTGTGTCCGTGGATCTCAGTTGTTCCCAGAGAATCTGCAACCCTGAGGGACAGGAAGCCAAGTCAGATAAGGCTGAAGCTTCTCCTTTTTAACAGCTGCTCTGTTCAAATAGAGCCAAACTCTGCCCTCACTCGTGGTCAGTGGGGGTCCATGCAAGAATCAGAGTTACTGAAGAGCTTCCAGTGAAGAAGGATGAATGTTTTTACTCCATGAAACTCCTTACTGAGAAAGGAATTGTGGCAATCTGTCTTGGAGGTGAAGGTGTAGAAAGGAAAAAGAGAGGGCCATGGTTTTATGGTAGAGGATTGTGGAAAGCAAGAGCTCTTAAGGCTGTTGTTTGACAGTGTGAGTGGCTTGAACTGGGCTAAAAGTTTATATTCAAAAGCATCTTAAATCTTCCAAACACCCCCACTGCTTGTTGACATTAGGACTTGCTGGATTCCTGGGAGTTAGTTTATTTACTGGCTCAGAAAAGCTATGGATAATAGGAGGGCTAAGTGCAGCCTCTTCCCTAGGGGGCTGAGTATGTTACGGTGCAAAACATGAATTTAGCTTTTTTTTTTTTTTTTTTTTTTTTTTTTTTTTTTTTTTTTTTTTTTTTTTTTTTTTTTTTTTTTTTTTTTTTTTTTTTTTTTTTTTTTTTTTTTTTTTTTTTTTTTT